AAAAAAAAAGGTTTGAGTTGACAAAATCCACCAAGAAAATTATCTAAATTGGCATAATCAATAGAAATGTTCATAAAGTCCATTATGGGAATATTTTGCTGCTACACAGCAAACACCATAGAAAAATATATAATCAAGTTATTAAAGTATATACTATTCTTAATTTCCTCAGTAGTATTTGAAATTTGAAAAACTCACCTCTAAAGTATCAAAACCTTTCATCAAAAACATTAGGGTATACAAAATTTTTAAGTTTAAATATTATTTTAGTAAATATACTTTTGACACAATTTCTATACTATAAAAACCCTTTAATATAAATTGATGATTACATTTAAAGAAATTTAATAAGTAAAGTGTCATACTTAAGTAATTGTTGAAATAAATAAGATAAAAAATAAAAATTAAAAGACCAAAATAATCGCTCCTTAGAAGTATAATGATCCATTTCAAAAATACTTTAACTAAAATGAATAAAAGTTGAAAGTAGAAAGATTAAAATAGACATTTTGAAAATATATAGACCAAAATGAACCAAAGTCAAAATTAACAAAACCAAAATAATATTTAAACTAAAAAATTGTGGCATCATATTTAAATGTATTTTTCTACAAATCAGGCTTTCTGGATATTAAGTATCCAAATTACTCTGTTTGGGAAAAAAAGATTGAAAATTTGCACCTTAACAGTAAAAACTAAAATTTTAAAATTTTACAGAGAACTTGAGAAATGGAATGTAAAAAGAAAACAACCAATCATAGAGGGGCTGGAACTGGAAGCATCGACCATGATTCTGCCCAATGGTTCATGATTTTGTACTTGCTGTCTGCTTCTGTGCGCGACAATGGATCAAATGTCTTATGACTTTATCAGACGGTACAGGAACATAATCATAATACAACCATACCTGAATGAACTTTGAATATGCTTTCCTTCCCCTCTCCCCAATCTTTTCCTCCTTGAAACTTGAAGGTCCCTTCTTCACCATGCGAACCTTCAAATATAAGAAGCCAAAAGAAAAAATAATGGACATAAGAAGGACATGATACATGAATCACAAGTTTACAATATGGGGGTTGGGGAGAAGGGATCAGGCCGGGATCATCACAGGGTGAGAAACCCTCAGGGCGGGTCAATCTCATTCTGATTCCCATGTTGATTTGACGAAAATGAGCATTTCTCCAGAGTATGCAGGTAGAGATGATGGTGAGCAATTATAACAAAGCTATTGAATATCAGAAAGTAGGTAAATTTTAGTCCTCAGATCTCAAAGATATAAATTAAATACACATCCATAAACCTAAAGATGGTTTTTCTGTGTGCATGTGAAGCAACAGCAAATCAATTCGAAGGTTCAGATCTCTTTGATTAATAGAATAGAATGAGAAAGAGAAACAGTGTATATGAATCCAATGAGAAACATGGACATGAACTATTCCTCATGAATAAGATGGATTAATGTAATTAATGTACAAAACTTGTGAAGAGACAGCAGACTACATTTGAGATCATTATTAAAAGAAAAGGTCAAAAAGTATATAGCCTAGAGTCTGCTGAATTTTAATTGATATGCATCAGCATAAACTAATATAACATTCAGATTCAGGTCAGTGCCGGAAGAAACCACATCATTATAAAAGCCCATGTGGTGCATGAACTTTCACATCAACAACAGTCTTGGAAGCAATTTGGTCAAGGGATGATGATGTTCATAAATTTCCTCTTTGCAAATGCTAGCCACCATTTATTTGGAGTTCCATTGGCTCTATAGGCAACACTCAAGAGTCTCCCACTTGTTTCCTCTCTTATCTGCTTCAAATAGTTCCTGAATACATCTGCATATAAAAGTGGACATATATGAAGCTTATGGGAATTCCAATCTTAAGACAAGAAGCAGGAGGTTATTGCACAGAACATCAACTCATAATATCTGCATCAACTGAATTGGAAGATCATTTTCAGAATAATGAAGTACCAATGCAAATTGCGTGGAATGCAGAAAAAGGAACAAAGGGCATATACAATTGATCATTGCGAAGTGTAGCGTCTGTATATGTAAGCATTTCTAGTTGACAAATTGTAGTGATACGGGCAGATAACTGAAAACTAAGATTGAGCTTCACCTGCTTCCTCGTTAGATTGAGGAATAGGGAAGAGTCCAGGAAAAGGGAAACCCAACTCTCCAGGCACCGGAACATCCTCCAAACCCAAGTTAATTATTGCCTTGGTTCCTACAGCCAAAGTTCTGCAACCTTCAAGCCTCTTCAAAGCCACATTAATGTAGAATGTCAAATAGATGAGAAGCTTATCAGCAGGGCTCTTAATGTCAAAATTTCTAAAGAAGACATTTGCACGAAAGAATGTAATTGCTTCATCTACAATATCAGTCTTATCTGTGAATTTCCAACCAAGATAAATTTTAGTATCAAACATATGGATATAGGATATTTTACGAACAAAATAACGGATTGAAGTTAATCTAAACCTTCATCTGAAACTGGAGCAGGACCCTTTATATGACTTTTCAAAGGAAGTAAGGGGCAGCCACAAGCCTTGTTTACTCCTTCCTCATCCACAAAGCTAGAGTGATGAACCTGACATGAAAACCACCAACTCGGCTCTAATTTAACCCATAAAGAGAAAAATAACCATTTGAAATACGATTAAGTAATCTATTGCGATTGTCCAAAGGAATCAAAAACACAAATCAAGCTTCCTTTGATATCCTTCTCACTCTTAACCGTTCCAGCACTGCATTAAAACATCGAGAAAAGCATTAAAGCTTTCGAAAACTTGAAACCTCACCATTATTTCTCTCAATAATCAACGTCTTAAACTTCAATCCGAGCTCCGAATTCTTCCTAACTGCAAAGATCGCAGGAAAAAAGGATGAGTAAGTGGATCTATCTCTTCTAAGCAACAATTCGAGTCTCCAATACGTAATTTAGCTATCAATCCTATAATGATCAATCCAATCTGGCGAATTCGGATCATTTCAAAGCCAGAGGACCATATTTTCCGATGAATTTCGAAATCCGCAGTTCGATCGGCACTCACTGCAGTAAGCAGAATGACTAATTGTGATCCAATTGGACTTACCGGAAAACTCCTGTTCGGATGAGCGGATCGGAGCTGTAATAGCTACCGGAAATTTCAGGGGGCAGCGCTGAAGCAAGATTAGAGAAAGGGTTCGTTTCTGGTATTTCCATCACCGTCTTCTTCTTGCCATTTTTACTATTTCAATATTTGCGAGTGGAAACCGTATCCGGAAAATGTTAAAATTTAGGGAATATTTGGCTAAAGAAAATAAATATTGGGACTTTTTCAAATTTTATAAATTAGAACTACTCCTGAAGCAAATATCGGTGGAGAAAAGGGTTGGTTTGCAAATTATCAATTTGCAATAAATTGCTTGGCTTGGAAGGAAAGTCCAAAGTTTTTTTAGCTTAACAATTGATTATTCATTTTCTAATTTGGTTCTAAAGCTTTCAAATTTTTTATTTTAACCCTTGAAACCTCTAACTCCACTTAAAAAATTTTAAACCTCAATTTTGATTTTTAACTTTTCATTCAATTCTAGACTTTATCACTGCCATAAAAGCAATAATTATCTCTTCCTTACCCAAGTTCAAGCATCAAGTTTGACAACCCAAACAACGGAATCACCCCTCACGTGTTGTACGTCATAATGGAGTAACTCCAAACAAAAAAAAAGTGCTTTTTTATAAAAAAAAATTTGCCCTACTGGACAAAAATATTTTGGAGTATAAGAAAATTTAAATGGTATATCTTTGACCAAAATATCAGAGATTCGAATTCCAGAGTCGTTAAACCTAAAAAAAATAATAATAAATTGACACTCAGATGCCAAATTTTTCCACAACATTTTCTTCTTCCCCATTACACCCCTTTCAAGTGTGACAAGTTAATAATTAAAACATATGTCAACATCTCCTAATAAAAGCACAATAGGCTTTATGACTAATTTTTATTTTGTGGATCATATTTCTTGAGTATCTAGGATGGCAATAATGACTTTGAAGCCACCCATACTTAGGTCATCAAAATTTCTCATTAGAAGTCCAACTATAACATGTTAAATCAAAACAAAAATGGAGACGCCAATATTTAATTTAACTCAGCGATAATTGACATATTTCTCTAACTACAAGRTTATGAGTTCAAAATACTAAAAAGAAAAAGGAAAAATAGAGTCGCTAAAAATACTAAAAATGTTACAAATTTACAAAATGAGCCAACAACTTTCACATCACCCAACATAACCTTTTTTTTTTTTTGTGTTTAATTTTTTACAATTCGGAAATCATGGTAATATCCCTTACTTGACAAATTGCTAGAAGATACAAGGAGACTATCTATAGCTATACATGGCAATTCTAGCAGAAAAATAAGCTTTGGCAATGGTAAATATGTTGTCGTTGTAATCAATCAGATTAGGCCTGTAAACGACGATGTCAACATGTACGGGATGTTCGCCATTGGACCGCGCTGGCAGGCGAGCTCGTGGAGGTCCCGGACAATGTCGAAGACGGCTTCAGGTTGTGCTAGTTTGAGAGCATTCTGCGACATTGTGTGGAGTTCTTCTGTATTTCTACTGAACCATTCAGCAACGATTCTGGCTGTTTCTTTGGGACTTCTGGTGAACACTCCAGCTCCATTGTCTACCACATATGGAACATTTCCTTTTTCCTAAAGGAGAAAAGTTTTGCAATTTGTTTGTTATGGTAAATGTGGTCTAAAGCTTGATGCAAGTGTCAAGTTTAATCACTTACTTGCCCCGGTATGTAGTCGTTGAGAATAATCGGAAGCCCTCGAATCAAAGCTTCTGCAATTGTTCCAGGACCGGCCTATAAACGAAAAAATCAACATGATCCATTATCCATTTTGTTTATCTATACGTCACATGTATGTATCAATAGGTTACGTTACAAGTTTAGTCTTCAAACTTCCAGAATTGTGTCCATCAAATTCTTAAACTTTAAAAATTATCTAACAAAAGTGTTGAACTTTCATTTTGTATCCAATAGGTCATAAACTTATTAGACGTTGTTTTAAATTCACAGACCACTTAAACACAAAATTAGACACAAATTTGTTTTAGCTCAAGTATCCATACATTTGATTATAAACAACAAATTTTTAAGAGCATATCAAGAAATAAAGCAAAGACATACTTTGGTTATTATACAGTCACAAGCACCCATCCATTTCTCCATCTGTTTTTCGAAACCTCTCACCTGCAAAAGAGAGAAAAAAGGAGATGTAATGGATGCCCAAGGCCAAAAGAAAAGGAAAAGTAATGGACTTCCACTGACCTTAACTGAGATCTTCCATTCCCCAGCTTCAAGAGAAGATGCTAAAGCTTTGTTTCTTCCACAAATAACAACAATTTGCCCAATGGGCTTCTCACTGTTCTTATCAAAAAGGGATTCTGCAAGAGCTTTTGCTGTTTCCTTCACAGGACCCATCCCTTCACCTCCTCCCATCAGTAGCACTGCTGGTAGATCTGGATCCATTTCAAGTTCTTCTCTTAGTTGACCCTGTGTAGGAAATAAACGAAACCGAACAACCACCATGAGCGAATCAGACCTCCATCAAACTAAATCACATGTTTGTGCTGTATAAAAATGAAAAGATCTACCTTCTGGAGTACCGCCCGAGCAAAGGACGGCCTGATAGGTAGACCGTAGACACGAACTTGGGACTCTTCGAGGCCATCGAGTAAGGCTCTCTTGGCTACTGCATCTGATGGGCAGTAACATCTGTTGACTCCAGGATGAAACCTGGATTTATTTATATGGTGTTCAAATGTCAGCTAAAAAGAAGCTAAAAGATAATGGTATTAGTTGAAAATGGGGAATCAAATGGTAATTTGCAAACTAACCATGTTGGATGGCAGGTGTTTAGGTCTGTAATGACTGTAACAAACACCACTTTCTTCTGAAGGCCTTGCCATTTCAGAACCCATAAGGGAATATGTTGCATCAGAGGATGAACACTGATGATAATATCTGGCCTGTACTCCATCAGACCAGCCTCCACCTCCCTTCAACAGAAAAAAAGGTACTACAAAGTTAGAAACACCATTCTACATTCTACACACAATGTAAGTTACCTCATAACATCAATGGTTCATAGTCAAGATCTCTAGGAAGAACATTGTTCTATAACCGACTCCACTACTTGCATTATGCTCGTGATCGTCTAACTAATCCTCAGAGAGGCTTTAGGGGGACAAATAATTTTAAATTATTAAGTTTCCACCTGAGAACTTGAACAGTATTATCCCCAGACATCTCAAGCCCATACTAGAATTAAGTTTTAGTTAGTCAAACGGTTAATAAAACGAGTTTGAAATGATGAATCACCATGGCTCGCTCAAATATGATACGATCTACATCATTGTCAAAAGGGGAAGAAAATCAGAAGAACGTGTTAGAAAATATATTCAAAACATTACCCCAACGATTCGAGTTTTTGGTTTTAGCCGTTCAAACGTCAGTTCAAAGTTCAGCAATGTATTTCTTACTTCCTTCTCATTTGATATTCATATCTCACTTGTTAAATCTTGTAATAATAGTAGAGTATGGTGATAGTGTTCGAGAATATATTGAAAAGATTAGCCGAAGAAAGTGTGCAAGAGAAGGTTATATGTACTTTGCATAGTAGGCGGCAATTGCAGCAAGATAGAGTGAGTGAATCCACCGAGGGGAGGTGCTATGAAATGCAACCTTCCATAGCTGGACATGTTTTACCATAAATTTGTATGATCCCTCCATGTCATTCAAAGGCCAACCCGTGTACTCTTTCCAAACATCCTTCACAAATATCTGAAAAAGAAGAAAGATAGAAGAAGAAGAAAAAAGAAGTGAGAAACCGAGAGCCAGCATCATTCATCTCTTCTAATAGATCACTTGTACACAGTGAGAAGCAAGAATTACATAAGATAATTCCCATGATAAAAACAGAACACGTTTCTGCCTTTTTGATTGGCAAAACGTATTGGGAACTGTTCAAATTTGGCTCAGACAGAGTAACCAAGAAGTTATGAAGTGTAAATTGCAAGATCTTATACTTTAAGGACAAACATCAAATGGCACGTTTCCAATACTTCCACGTAAAACATAGGCGAGATAAAACAGAGAGGTGAATTAGAAGCCAAAACCGACCATCTTCAACATGATTTTCAGCAAATAATCAACAAATCTGACGATTAAACACAGCTTAAGGTAACAAACGAACATGAATCAAGGTGTAAGTTAGGAAAAATTCCAAAACCCAGAAGAGAAAATCATTGAGTTACTTGATACTCGTCTCCAAATTCAATCTGAAACGCATCCCGAATCGCCTCCGCAGATGCCCTGTGGCCACCCCCTGTATCACTCATCAAAATAAGAACATTCTTCGTCCTCTGCGCCCCAATCTGAACCAATTCCAAATTCCCATCGTCGTCATAATCCTCCTCTCTGCAACCATTCCCACATGATCTACGACTACTACCGCATTGATAATGCCCTCCCACCCTCTGAAACACCTTCTCTGTAACAGACTTCCGCGTTGCAACAGACATAACGCCGTCGGACCCCGATTTCCCGCCACGGAAATGGGGTTTTGCGGCGGAGGGGGGAAACGGAAGAACAAGAAAAGGGGGCGTTAATGGAGGAGAGTGGATTGAGGCCGGGCCCCTGCAATTAAAATGGAGGAAAGAGAGAGAGGATTTGGGTGTGTTGAAGGTTTGAGATGGCGGAGAGTGGCGCCATTGGATGCTTGAAATATGCAATGGAGGCATTCATGGAGGTTGTGGGGATTTCGATTTACAGCCGTCGGATTCGCATTTCGCTTGAGAATGTTCGTTGAGGAAGATTCGAATCTTCTTCGCCTTCTGAAATTTGAACAATAATTTAAATACGGCGCCCTTTCAACTTTTTCTATTTAGTATCATGCCCTTTGAGTTTTGGATATTCTCTTTTGCTTGCCTTTGAAAATACAAATAACTAGTCTACTAAAAATTAATTTTCATAATTGGATTGGTTTGTTTTTTTTTTAGTTTTTGTTGTGCTCCGACTGGTTGTCGTCTCTATAGTTCAAAGTTTTGCTACTTTTCTATTGTCAGGTCACTTTGATTTCTTTGTGCTCCGATTGGTTGTCGTCTCTCTTGTTAGAAGTTTTGCTACTTTTCTATTGTCAGGTCACTTTGATTTCTTTATGTCAATCTTTGCGAGTTCTTTTTTTTCCTTACAATATATCTAACATTTGCAAAATTAAAAAAAAAAAGAGACTAATTTACTATTTTCTTTCTTGTCGATATGAGTAAAACTAATGATATCTACTTCTTCTCTTGATGTCAAATGTTCAGATCCTCATATATAATATTTTTTATATTCTAAAAACATATATCATTTCCGTCTTCAAGATTGATAGTCCAATTACTTCACCTTACTGGTTTCAAAAAAATATATATATATATTACTTAACAAACTTAATATTGTATGCACTTGAGATAAATTTTTTGTTGAATTGGTGCTATGTGATAGATAGGTATGCATGTCACGCAATATTCCATTGATTGTATAACAATATGGATTATATATGACCAACGTGATCATAGTTCAACTGATCAAAACATTATTTGTCTCACTAAAGTTGGAGGTTCAAATATTTTCTATTTAATAAAAAAAAGTATGAAATTAAAAAAGTATTATGATTCAAAATTTTAGAATGTTAGACTAAATTCTAACCTATTTTAAACTACAAACCAAATTAGAAAAAAAAATATTYTGTTTTAAGAAAAATCAAAATCTAACAAATGGAGGGCATTCATAGAGAATTTAATAAATCCAATATTTAAGGGAAAAAAACATGGGTCAATCATTTTGTGTATAACCATGTGGTCATTCCATTAATATATATATATACATCATTAAATTATTGTTCACACAAGTTTATATATACACACACATATATTCGTGTTAAACTATCTTCAGTGAGCACAAGTATATTTTAATATTTAACGGAAGAAAGAGAATATATTTTAATGTTTGTCATTGCTCCCAAATTTAATATTAATGTTTTAAAAAAATATTTGCTTTGAGACATTTCTCTAAGAATTCACCAACATACGTGAAAATATCAATTTTTTTTCAATTTATTGTCTATATTTATAATTTTTTATGACGTTGGTATAAATTAATTATAATAACTTATTAACTTAGGAAGGATGTGAAGAAGAAATATGATAAAAATTCGAGGGCACGACAGGAAAAAAAAAAGCTATAAATAATACTAGTATGATTATGGGTCCATTGACATTATATTAGGCTGATACAAAAAAGGAGTTTTTTATTTTTATTTTTAAATGTTTGGCATGTAAGTGCGAGAAAGTCACGTTGTGGACCAAATGATAGCTCATTCCATTCATTTATGTCCCTTAATTACTTAATATCTCTTTTTGATATCATATCATATCATTATTGATATAAAAATAATTAAAATGAAATATTAATGTAAAGACAAAACTTTAAAATAAATCGAATTGTGTACTAATAGGATATATCAATATTATTGATAATAAAAATAGTTTAAGTTAAATGTGAATGTGAGGACAAAACGTTAAAATAAATAGAATTGTATACCAAATACATACTTCTGTCACTTGTCATTAACATTTCAATACGTGGGAAATAATCCTTTCATTGTTCTAAATTTTTTTTATGTAATATTATTTATAATAATTTTGAAAATATTTTTATTTGATTATCAATTATAATATAAGAATTGTACAATTTATATGCAATGACCTACCCTAACCCAACAAGATTTGAATAGAGAATAAACCATTTTTTATTTTATTTTTAAAGAGACCATCCATTTTATTTAGTAGTACTATTGTTTTTTTTTTAATAAGACCATATATTTTATATATATACATTTTGTAAATCCAAAATATCACTTGTTGAGAAGTGTAATAATAATTGGTAATAATATGATGATGAAAATATAAAAACTGATGAGGCCAATCCCATTACCCAGATATATTATTGACTATTTATTTAATTAAGTTTTGACATATAATCAATGATTTAATATTATTAATGATTAATTACCCAATTCTATATATTTGATGGATATTTTTTAGGTTTAAATATTATTTTTTCAGCTCTTATACTATTGTTCGACTTCCGTTATTTTGTCATTCTACTACTATGTCATTCATTTTAATCTTTGTACTTTTGACTCTTTTTTTTTTCCATTTCAGTATCTATACTTTCAAACTGTCTGTTTTAGTTTGTGTACTTTTAAAAATTTACCATTTGAGTTTCTATTTGTAAAATGTTAACACAAAATTTATATATAATGAACACCGTTTAATGCAATTTTATGATTATATTTAAAAAAATGTGTTGAGTGAAATGTCGTGTAAAAAATGTGATAGAAAAAAGATGAGATAAAAAAGAAAATGAAACATTGAAAAGTATAGGAACCAAAGAATTTGATTGCCTGCCTCCTTTTAATGTGGGGAGAAACACAATGTGGAGCTAATTCAAACCCTTCAAGTAAAATAAGAACAACCCCACATTCAAACCACCATTTTTATCATTCACAATAGCTTGTTTAAGTTGCATATCATAAGAAACTCGAACAACCACYTCAAATAAAGTATAAGGAGTACAGGTATGAGAAAGTATCAATTGTGCAACCTCCATACCGATCCATAATACGATCAGTTCTTTTTCATGAATTTTCATAATTTTGTTGTACAAAAATAGAATATGCATTTGAAAAGAATGAATAGATAACAAATAAAAGTACAACGATCAAAATAGACCTTTTGAAACATCGGATTTCTCTCCCCGTTTTAGTACACCCTTTCGAGCTATCATCTTTTGCTTTGTTGGGTTTCTAGTGAGTTATCTTCTAATATGGCAATTTACCTCCTAGATCTTTTTATTTTTATTTATTTTTTTAGGGACGATTAAGGAATAATTTTATAGGCACGTAAGAGATTAAATGAATATGATTTGATTAAATGAATGTATATCTTCCAACTTTTCATATTCAATTCATCTAATCTTTTTAAGGTACATATAAATTGCATTATCTCAAAGTTTAGGTTACATTTTACTATTTTTAATATATCAATTAAAAATATATAAGTATTTATATATTCTAATTTTGAAAAAAAAAATATATTACCTAATTTAGGCTTTTTTTGTCATATTAATCTAAAATACTTTTCTAATATTTTTTCAGTAGAACAATTTGGAGATATGGAGATCGAACCTCCGACTTTAAGGAAATGATCGAGTACATGCCAATTATAGCTATGCTCATGTTGACTACTAAGATTTCTTTTTAATTAATATAGATGTATATATAGAGAATAGTAGAACTGTTTTAGTATATATATAAAAAAAATGAGGGCAGGGAGAGGAATGGGGACGGGAAACCCCTACAAATAGTTTCATTTTAAACGATAATCCCCCGCCTGGTTTAGGCGCGGGTTCCTGCGTGCCTTATCTAAAGGAAAAAAAATAAGCATCACTAATTCACATATAAAGATGCTTTTAAGGTTACATGGACCTTTATGTTGATAATTCAATTTTCTATTTATTGTAATTAGCATTGCAACTTATGATACAAATTCCAACAATATTCGATATATATAAAAAAAATTTATATTTTAACCCATTGGGCCGAGTTCTACATATTTTTATTTTTGTTAGTTGGACAACGTGGAAGTGAGAAATTTGAATATTCGACCTTTTATGACAAATGTACAATATCGACCTTTTATGGCAAAGGTACAATATTAACAATTTTATATTATTTAGATAGTGTCAAACTAATCAATAATAGGAACTAAATACCTTTAAAAAATCAGCTAACAAAATGAAATAAATCCAAAAGTGTGGACTAAAAAATGAGATTAGACCTTTTATCTATTTTCCACCTTTCAAATTATTATTAAAACATCTATTTTAGATTTTTAACTTTTAAAATATTTCTCCTTATTTTGTCTTCAATTTTCACGTGACTAATTAATATTATGTTAAAATAATTTCCTTTAACATAGGAGGGTTAAGTTTAAAAATAATGTAATTTGAAAAAATAATGTAGATTTAAAAGTAATAACAAAATAAATGTAATTTAAATAAAAAGTTACAAATTTAAAAATTAGACATCCAAACTATTGAAAAAAAATAGGTTGGATGTTAGTCAAAGCAAAAAATCACATACAATAGATGTGATTTATATGCCAACGTATCATAGATGAAATTGATATTGGGGGATGAATCARCAGAGGCAATTTCAGTGGAAATGGCGTATGGTGCACGTAATTTCAATTTATAGAAGTTGCATACAATGTACGAGATTTCCATTTATAGAAAGTTGTGTAGAATGTAAGCGATATCCATTTATAGAAAGTTACATACTTGTACGCGATTTCCATTTAAAATAGTTATACATTCATCTATGTAGGTTTTTTTTTATTTTACATATAAAATGTTATTTATTTTTTAGTATTTAACTATTTTATATATATCTAAAAATATAGATTCACATCCAACATATTTTTCAATAAATCTCATATCATATAAGTACAAATATATAGTACAACAATTTAAAAAAATCACTATATAAAATGACAAAATAAAAATACTTAAAATTTCCATTAAATATTTTGCTTCAAAAGAGAAGAGTGGTAATTACATAGAGAATAAAATTAATTAAAAAAATACTAATTGAAATTGAGATATTTTTATAATAAATAAATCGAAATTGAAAAAAAAAAAAGAAAAATTGTTTGAACCCGGACAGCGAGTTCATAAAGAAATTGGAATAAAAAAAATAAAGAATGTCATGACAAGTATTGAACTCAAACAAGGAGAGTTAATGACTAAGGAGCTCACTACACAAGGAAAAAAAAAAGAGATGGAAAGAACGAACGCAAGGATCCAAAGTCATTCATGTACTTGCTAGCTGCTACACCTCCAAACGACTTTTGAAATATTTAAAATGGAAATCCAAATTGCAGTTGATGGATAAAGAAAAAGCACTATCAATGACTACGACTCCGAGTAAAAATCACGGTTACTGATTGCATCTTTGCTGAAATCGTAAATCGCTACGATTTCACCCCTTACTGCATTATTTATGTCATTAGTTTTTAAAATAACATTATTTATAAAAAAAAATTCAACTTAAAAAATAATTTATACCCCATGTGATTGTACTAGAAAACAATAATAATGACTAAAATAGTTGTATTATATATAAAAATAGTTTAATTAAAGAAATAAACATTTTACAAATTTTAAATAAATTAATAATATTACTATTAATATTATATCTATGTTTTATATTTTATTGATTTTTTTGGTGATATCGTGAAAAGATCAATTCAACTCTTATATTCACCTATCGATATGAACATATCTCAATAGTAATTGACATGTATTTTTTTTCTTTGAAGTTGGAGGTTCGATCACTCGTATCTTCAAATTATTGTATACTTAAAAATACACTTATATGGACATTGGACTTGCGCATGTATAGAAATTTCAACGAAAATGTCAGCATGTGAACGAAAATTTAATAATTTGTGAAAGTGTGGAAAACTTACCTAAATTGAATAAATACAAAATAAACTTTCAAGTATATATATATATTTAATTATTTGCTTTATTTTATTCAACAAAATTTTGAAAATGGCCCCACAATTCTGCCGAAAACAAAAAGAGCTATTAAATAAATGGCGAAAAGAGGGAGAGCCACGAAACCGAAGAATCTGATACTTCGCTGCACGTTCTCTCCAAATCTTCGAAACCCGTTTTCTCACGGCGGCGGACCGGACATCGCTTCCTCCATCGATGCTGTCGCCGCCTTCTCTCCGACGTCTCTCCCCGGCCGTCGCTTCCGTGCCTCCTCTCTCCCACCCCCGCCTCCGTCACAACCCTCTTCCCATTCTCCCCTGTCCTCGGTCTTTCTCCAGGCCTCTTCTTCGAGTTCGCGCCATTGATGCTGCTCAGCCTTACGACTACGAATCGAGGATGGCAACTCGTTTTCACAATGCCCAGAAGCTCAAAATCGCCATAATTGGTTTTGGGAACTTCGGTCAATTTCTCGCCAAGACTATTGTTCGTCAAGGTCATACCGTATTGGCTCATTCCCGATCGGACCACTCCGATGCGGCTCGTAAGCTCGGGATTTCGTTCTTTGCGAACCCGGATGACCTTGCGGAAGAGCACCCGGAAGTAATTCTGCTCTGCACGTCGATAATCTCGACCGAGAGTGTTCTCCGATCGTTGCCATTGCAGAGGTTGAAGAGGAATACATTGATAGTGGATGTGCTTTCGGTTAAAGAGTTCCCTAAAAGCTTGTTGATGGAGTTATTGCCTGAGGATTTTGATTTAATTTGTTCGCACCCGATGTTCGGACCCGAAAGCGGCGGGAAAGGGTGGAATGAACTGTTCTTCGTGTACGAGAAGGTTCGAATTGGGTTGGACGAGTCTAGGGTTTCGCGTTGCGAGAAGTTTTTGAGTATCTTCGAGAGGGAGGGATGCAGAATGGTGGAGATGAGCTGCGCTGACCACGATAAATATGCGGCTGGATCGCAATTCATTACGCATACTGTTGGGAGAATTTTGGATATGTTAATGTTGGAGTCTACACCGATTAATACTAAAGGATATGAAAGTTTGCTGGATTTGGTGCAGAATACTGCCGGAGACAGCTTTGATTTATACTACGGGCTGTTTATGTATAATAAGAATGCGTTGGAGATGATGGAGAGGTTGGATTTGGCTTTTGAAGCATTGAAACAACAGCTTTTTGGGCGGTTGCATGATGTGGTGAGGAATCAATTGTTTGGATGTGCTGAGAAATTGCGAACTTGGCCAGAAAATCCTCAAGACGGGGCTTCTCTTGCACTGACAACTTATTCAGAAGCTACCAGGCAAGGTCCCAAAGCCTTTCAGTTCAATGATATTTAGAGTATGCTTTTGTTCCTCGGTTCAACCAAAACTTTTGATGAGTTGGGTGTTGTATATTTGTGCTTTATTTGGTGTGCATTTTTGATATTAAGCCTTTGGGTTTTATTCTTTTTGCGTATGGATTTATGTGCTAATGGTGTGAAAATGTTGAATTTTGATCAGGAGGCTACCCCATAAACAGAAAGAAGGGGATTAATGGTGAGTCAGTAGGAGAGTTAGAGTTAGAAATCCTTTTTTAAGATGGTTAAAATTTTTGAAGTCGCTGGTTGATTCTATCCTCATTGATTTCCTGGATCTTTTGTGATATTTGTATCCTGATTCGTTTGAAGTGTGATTGGTTCATCAAGAGATAAGTAGAGAAAATGTTGTGCTGTTCCTTATAAGTCACGCTTCAGAAGAATAAAATCTCTCTCTATATATATTTCAGGTTTCAGGACTTTTCTCCAACTTATGACTACAAGGCTGCAAAACTTGAGGAAAATCCAAAGCTCAAAATTGCGATTGTTGGATTTGGTAACTTCGGTCAATTTCTTGCCAAAACAATTATAAAACAGGGTCACACTGTGTTAGCCTACTCAAGGTCAGACTACTCAGATGTGGCTGAAGAGTTGGGTGCTTCATTCTTTTCTGATGCGGATGATCTATGTGAAGAACATCCAGAAGTAGTTCTTCTCTGCACTTCCATTCTTTCAACGGAGAAAGTTCTCAGGTCATTACCCTTTCAGAGATTAAAGAGGAATACGTTGTTTGTTGATGTACTTTCAGTGAAAGAATTTCCAAGAAATTTGTTTCTTCAAGTTTTACCCCCAGATTTCGACATCCTATGCACCCATCCCATGTTTGGGCCAGAGAGTGGTAAGAATGGGTGGAATGATCTTTCCTTTGTTTATGATAAGGTACGAGTGGGAAATGAGGAATCAAGAGCATACCGTTGTGACTGCTTTCTTGATATATTTTCAAGCGAAGGGTGTCAAATGGTGGAAATGTCATGCTATGATCACGACCGGCATGCAGCAGGGTCACAGTTCATTACCCATACAATGGGGAGGGTTTTGGAAAAGTTGAATTTGAGCTCTACACCAGTTAACACCAGAGGTTACAAAACCTTGTTGGACTTGGTGGCAAATACTGCTGGAGATAGCTTTGATCTTTACTATGGTCTGTTTATGTACAATGCAAATGCCATGGAGCAACTAGAGAGGTTGGACCTGGCTTTTGAATCATTGAAGAAGCAGCTCTTTGGGCGTTTGCACGGTGTTCTTCGGGAGCAACTTTTTGAGAATACGAAAGACAACTTCATAGACACACGGAAAGTTCCCATGATAGAGCCATACCAGAACGGCACTGCTCTTTTATCCTTACCTGATTCTCGTGAGCTTCATTAGGAGTCAACTTTCCCTTTCACTTCTTGTAAGTAGTACATAAATTTACATAGTTATTTACCAAGAGGTCCATAATTTATATGTGCTTGTTCTCATTGTTCTCTATGCCAATGTGTCTGCACATGACCTTCCAAGTTTTGTTTTTCACTTTCCACTTCATTTTTAGTATTTGGGTTTGTGGGTTCACATCATCAACCCTGATGAAACATCTTCCTTGGTTCAATAGTCTCTTTTCCCTTGCTTCATAATGAGCCACCATGTCACACATTTTCACATGACTTTATGTTTACTCATTGAATGCAGTGTCATATTATAACAATGCAGTCTGCTTAATTTTCTCTGATATTAACTTTAGATCATGTACTCATTTTCCACGACCTTGAAAAAGAAATTATAGTTATTGCAATTGTATTTGGGTGACTTTTCTGAAATTCTTAGAAGTATCTGTCAACCACGATATTTCTTTGCTCATTTTAGGTTTGCTGTTCGCATACGCTTGCTTAAAGCCTTACTACGGAATCAGCCATGTCAGAGGCATGATTGGTGATAAGCAAACTCTTCCAACATCTCCATGGCAGCACGGCTACATTCTCATCCCCAGTCTGGTCAATCTGAAAACAAAAAGATTTGTCTCCAAGGACGCCCCGAAACTGGTATGTACCAATAAAGCCGCTGCAGGGAGAAAGATGAGTAATTAAGGTGCAATCTAGGAACTTTAGGAAAACTAGATCAGTTTGATAGTTTACAAATTGTCATCAGTCATCCTAGATGGAACAAGATAAACTAGAAATCATAGTAGGAATAAGTTTTGATTAGAAATTGAGGAGTTGTGGTTCATTTTTGGATTCTTTCTTCCTCCCTATGGTTGTCTTCAGTAAGATAGAAATTCATGTTGTACCAAATATCTATACAATAATCTTTTACTTCAGATTCCTAGTAAGTTGAGTTCCTTTGACTCTCTTTATTGTTTATGAGATTTTTTTTGCCCTAGTTTTGTAATCTTTCTGAATTCTCTGCCCCTATTTTGATTGTAAATTGCCAGTGGACTATTGAATAATGCCTCGACTAATTGCCCCCTATTTTCTTCTCTTTCTTCTCTTAAAAAGAAAGAGAAGAAAACTAATCGTAAGCATGCATATATAAAATAAGAATCAAATAATAATTGACACTTTAGAACAAATTGCAGTCTTAACTATTGAATATTCCTTGTCTCAAAAAAAGAGAAAAAAAAAAGAACTATTGACCATTCAACTATTTAAACAATCTCTCAGGTTCTTTTTATTTATTTAAAAGTCCATGTAAGTGCGGTAGGGCTCACTTAATCGGATACATGGAATTGAGATCTCTCTCGCATAGCTTAATATCAATAACGTGCTAATGCCACTTAACCGGATACATGGAATTGGTATCTCTCTCGCATAGCTTAATATCGATAACGTGATAATGTGATTAGGATAGAACCATTAAGAAATTTTGAAGTGACGTTATATATTTGGAGGTTAGAATCTAATAATGATGTGGTGCTTGTTGGAGGTGGAGGTCGAGTTGAACTATGTTCAACGCGACATGAGTCTTTCTTCTCCACTTCGTAGATTCGAATTTTTATCTAAGTCTACGTGTTCTCGTGAGAGTGATCGTCTTTCTCTTCCACTTTGCAGGTTTGAATTTCAATTTGAATCTACGTGTTCTCGTGAGAGTGATCCACCTATCATTTTCAATTTTACCCCATAACAAATGTTAATGAACAAAAAAATGAGATGTCCCTTCCTCCAAATTCACAAGAGAAGTATCTTAATCATTAATATAGAAAAAGACACGTAATTTAACTTTAAAATTAAAATTAAAAATATACATATATATGTTCATACTGGTGGGTCCCGTAAGGAATGAGAGAGTGTGGCATTCCACTGGTTCTAAATTCATGGGAGCCTCACAATCTGCAGACTTCCGTGGCCTCACCAGCTTCCTCCCATGGCCGCAACTTCACGCCACGTCTTTCTTTCTTCATCTTCCCCCTAAACACAAAGCCCCATCAAAACTTTACTCAACCCAACAATGGCGAAATTCTCGATTCGGCCACACAACACTCGCTTCTTTCTCTCCCACCCCACTAACCCCCACGCTTCAATTTCCCGCTCAATTCGCGCCACTCCCTCACTTTCTCGCCCGCAACTCCTGCGATTAAGCATCCGGGTTCGCTGTAGCATCAGAGAGAAAGAAAATGTCAAGCGAAACGAGGAGGTTCCCTCTGTGCTCTCGGGCCTCCGTGTCGACGAATCGGAACGAATCGGGTCCATTTCGAAACCCGAGGACGATTCCAGCTCTGGAAATGGAGTTGTTGAGGTGGGTTCCGATGCGAATTGGCCGCCGTGGAAGAATGTTCCCGAGAGGTATAAATTGATCGGCACCACGGCGCTTGCCTTCGTTATCTGCAACATGGACAAGGTCGGTCCTCTGTTACTCTTAACTTTTAATTTGATCGAACAAAATGTTGTTGGATTTCAATTTTTCGCCGCGATTTTCTGTTTGTTGGTAAAATTAGGATCTGGGAAAGGCGTTTGTGGGATTTATTTAGCTTGTTATTGTGTTACTGGGTAGGTGATGTTAAACCACTGTTAAACCCAAAAGCTTAACTTGATGCCTACGAGTTTCGATAAATTTAACTTTTTATTTGTATTTTAAATATTACCCTTCAATTGTAGGCTTATAACTTAGAAGTTAAAAAGATAACACAGAAAGAAACGAAATCACAGGAGTTCAAACATAAGACTTTAAGGTGGTGTCAGGGTAAATTTAATCTAATCAATCTTTTATTATTCTTTTAACAGGTGAATCTAAGCGTTGCTATAATTCCAATGTCGCACCAGTTTGGGTGGAATTCTTCGGTGGCTGGGTTGGTTCAGTCATCTTTCTTCTGGGGTTATGCTTTGAGCCAGTTGCCTGGTGGGTGGCTTGCCAAGATATTTGGTGGGAGGTCAGTTTTCATTTTCCGAGATCAATATTAGTCGGTCTATCATTTCTTTGGTAAACCTTGTAGTTTAAAAAACCTTCGTAGAGCAGAGTTTGAAAGTTAAATACAATTGTTTCAAGTTGGTTTACAGTGACAGTGAATAAGCTTTCTTCTTCATATAAAAAACCTTTGTAGAGCAGATTTTAATGGGTTTCCTGTCCTAACAATAGAATCTGAGCAAGAAATTTTGAAACTTCTGGTCAAAATGACTCGTCTCTTAACCCTTTTATCTTGATTTTTGTATTTTGAAAATTAAGTATAATAAATCCACCATATTTTTTTTTCCTCAAAAAATAGATTTTCACTTTTTAAAATATGGTTATAATTTTAAAAATAGTTTTAATTATGAAGAAAAATATTAGTAAATAAGCACCACCAAAACTGCAAATGTTATCAAATAGGTCTTTTGATGTTTATCTTGAATCTTAATATTTGGGTTGGTGTTTGTCGAAAGTCTCCTGATGTCCTGGTTGCTCCCTGGTTATCTTGAGCACCAAGTATGCTTCAATTCTCGTCATGATTGAACCATGTCCTGCCATACTGCCCCTTAACTTGTTTTACCTGCCATTCTCTGTTATATCATGTACTGCCAGTAAATGCCAATAGAAATCTAAATCCGACTGTTTGTAGAAAAGCAGCAGCTTTAGCACCATTCACTGCCTTCATTATCAGTAGCTTTCTTTATTGGAATGCTATGTGCACTCTTAACAATTTCAGTAGATCGTACAATAAGCTGATGGACAGGGTCATACTTATTGGTGACCTCTTTTTATCAGAAAAGTTCTGGAAATCGGAGTACTGACTTGGTCACTAGCCACCGCTCTCGTTCCATTTCTTGCTGGATATATGCCTGGATTAATATTATCCAGAATTTTGGTGAGTGAGAACACTCGTATGAGTAAAACACTTCCTGTGGTTTCTCTCTCTGTTTTGTTCTTGGCCAAGGCCTTGAAGTTTGCAACTTATTGTGGTGGGTCGATTTACTTGCATATTCTGTTTGGTTAAAAATCATCCCCCATGCTTTTCATTCTTGAAATTTGATTAGTAGTTAACCACTTATAACTTACCTGGAATTCACCTGGCCTTTGGAATATAGGTTGGCATCGGAGAAGGGGTTTCGCCATCGGCTGCAACTGACCTTATTGCGAGGCAGGATTAACTTCCTCAATTATTGATGAACATTTTAATCAGTTGTATTTTCTTATTCTCATTTTTCTTGGATTATTCTAAACGTTCATATTATTTTATWCAGTATTCTTCTAATCAGTTATTAAATTTAACCAGGGTAGTAGTATTGTTGTTCCTTGATCTTTTTTATAAATTCCATTTTATGAATGGCCGAAATTCTAATCAGTTATTAGATTTAATTAGGGTAGTAGTATTATACTCCCTTTATTTTAGTTTAGTCTTTGGATGTCTCTAAACTTTCATCATGTATGAATACATTCAACTTATTCGACATTTTGATTGCTACATGTAGGTCAATCCCTCTGCAGGAACGCTCACGGGCAGTTGCATTTGTTTTTGGTGGGCTGAGTGTAGGAAGCGTTTCAGGGTATGTTCTATGTAGGAAAGAATGTGATTATGTGAATCTATGTCTCTTGATCCGACTTAACATAGACCATATTTGTATTTGCCTAATAATCCTTATTGTTGAGGAAGCTCCGGTTATTTAAGTGAGAAGTTTTCATGAGGAGTTGAATGTGAGATATGGATTAAAAAGAATATTTTTACAGTTCATTGAAGACAACTTGGACTTTACTGAGAATAACCCTGGAAATTAAGGGCATGTTTAATAAAGTGGATCAAATGGATTGGTATTTGGTTAGTCTGTTTTTGAAAATGAAATTTGAATGTCTCAATCCAATTTGGTTAGTCTGTTTCTGATTTTTAGATTTGAAATCTGATAACTTTGAAAACAGGGGGTTAGGTTTTAAGAAAGTATATCACGGACAAAATAGACTAATTTTGATTTATGTAGCATGTAACTCAGGAATATAGTTTCATGTTATCTCCAGTGGTTTCTTTGCAGTCATATATTAATAAATTGATTTCTTTGTTTTTTGGCAGCCTACTTTTGGCTCCTTCTCTAATCCAAAATTTAGGTTGGGAATCAGTGTTCTACATTTTTGGCATTCTGGGTATAGCCTGGTAAGTTGATGCACCAGTTATCATCTTTTCTTATGTCACTCCTACATTAAGTTATTAGGAAGAACTTATTCTTTTTCCATGGGGGTATTTATGATTTGGTTCTGGTTTTTTCCAAATCAATAACTGATTAATGGTATTTTAGGCCTTGTTTAATAAACATTTCATCTTTGTAAACTATGCTTGATTGCTTACAATTTCTTGGTATATTTTACCTTAAAAATACATTTGCGTTCCTATCCAAATTCAAAAAAAAAAAGCTTCAGAAATAACTTTTTTAGTATTGAAAACTTTTGCTAGATTTTGAAAACGTTTTTAAAAAGTAGGTAGCAAAACAGAATTACATTGGGTACACTATTGCTTACCGGCTTAATTTTCGAAAACAGAAAACTAAAAACAAAATGGTTATCAAATGAGTCTTTAGTTATTTTTGAAAACTGGTTAGAGATTATTGTGGTTGAAGCTAGGTTTGCAGGATTCCAGTTCCTGGATGGACAAGGACCAGCATCATCAACTGCAATCCCAGTTAAATCCAATTCAGGTGAGCATTATTTGTATTTTGTTAACAATAAAAGTTTGGTTAAAATACTATTTTGGTCCCTGTACTTTTAGCCTTAGTTCATTTTAGTCCCTGTACTTTGAAAATGTTCATTTTGGTATTTGTACTTTTAAAAAGTGATCATTTTAGTTCCTCTTTATAAGATTTTGACACAAATTTTACACATAACGAAAACAATTTAGTATAAAGTAATGTTTACATTGTAAGAAATATATTGATTATAATGTGGTGTTGAAATTATGATAGAAAAATGAGATTTAAAATAAAATGAAATGTCCAAAATGATCACTGTTTAAAAGTACAGGGACCAAAATGAACATTTTCAAAATACAGGGACCAAAATGAACCAAAGTAGAAAGTACAGGGACCAAAATGAATATTTTAAAAGTATAAGGACTAAATTGAACAAGAGCTCAAAGTATAGGGACCAAACTAGTATGCTAACCTAAAAGTTTTTTAATACATTAATTAATTAATTATATTTGTGTAGCATCCAAACTCAAACATCTACCTGCCGCCCTCAAGGTACACCATCGCTATCCACCACCTTATCTCTTAATATTTATTAAAAAAATATTTGATTATAAAAAAATTAATAAAGAAAAAAATTGAGTGTGTGTAGGAAGTACCATGGAAGGCGTTTATGGAGTATCCACCATTATGGGCAATGATATACACTCATTTCTGTGGGAGTTGGGGTCACTATACCTGTCTCTCTTGGCTTCCTACTTATTTTAGGTATTTCCCTTCTTACTTCTTCTTCCTCCTGTTCTTCTTCCATTAATGGTGGCATTCCCTTCTCATATTTCTTCATTTTCAGCGAGGAGTTGAACCTTAATTTGACTGAAGCTGCTTGGGTACGCTCTCTCTTTACGTCTCTATTTTATTTTTACTTTCATTACCCTTCTCCTATCATCATCATCACCACCATCTATCTCTATGCGTCTATGTCTATGTCTACCCAACACTAGAATTATAAATCAATCAAATACTATACTGTACTTACAATTACAACACTTACTATATATTTATCCAGAAAATGAAGAATAGACTGAAAATGTAAAAAACAATAATGAACTTCTTCCATCTTTGTTTCAACATTTATTACTCGATTGCAACTGCATTATGTGAAGATCTAGCCTTCTTAAAACTCCTAGAAACCATTCAATTCAGGTTTCCATCCTTCCGCCCCTGGCTTCAATTTTTGTAACCAGCATTGCAGCACAGTTGGCTGATAACTTGATTACCAACGGTGTCGATACCACGACGGTAGTAAAAGAAAACTCCAAAAATTTAATTTCAAGAAGAATTCCCTTCATAATTTGTTTGACCCCCTTCTGGTTCTCCTCTTATTATTATTGTAGGTAAGAAAGATTTGCCAAACCATTGCCTTTGTGTCCCCAGCAGTTTGCATGACTTTGTCCTCTGTTGATTTAGGATTGCCACCTTGGGAGGTTGTAGGAATTTTAACCACTGGCTTGGCCCTATCAAGTTTTGCACTGTCCGGTACAGTTTCATGACAATACTTCTTTGGTTCTTGAATTATTTTCCTCAAAGTTAGATTAAATTTCCTATTTCCCATCTGAGTATCAAGATAATTATCTGCTTTCTGCAGGACTTTACTGTACTCATCAAGATATGTCACCTGAATATGCAAGTGTCCTTTTGGTATGTAATCTTCACAAAGATCCCGATGCACATCAATCATGGTTTATCTTAGCCATTCTCACCTTAAAAATTCTCCACAGGGCATTACGAATACTGTCGGAGCAATACCGGGTATTATAGGAGTTGCTCTCACTGGCTTTCTTCTTGATTCAACTCATTCCTGGAGTGTAAGTTAGCACCTACCTTTTTATCTTTACGAATTGGTACATTTCAACCATACTCTCCGATTTTGTTGTGCATCTTCAAAATTTTCCATTTGTGATGTGTAGATCTCACTGTTTGCCCCGTCAATCTTCTTCTACTTGACCGGGACAATCATTTGGTTGGTCTTCGCCAGCAGTAAACCTCAATCCTTTTCGAAGAACGAAGAATGAATTGTGTTGAATACAATAGGAATGCTTCCATCACGTCATTGGTATAGCCATTGACTACATTTTACATATTCAAGTTCTTCAGTTGTATATTTATAGTGAACACATAACATGTATATTCCCCAATAGAGCATCATTCATTATCATTTAGATATTTTGTTTTCTAACCATTTTTAATCAGAGTAATCCTGCTAAAAGTCGCAAATATTCTGGAAAATTTGTATGCTCGCCTTATCTCACTATCAACTGATCAATTATCTGTTGGTAAATGTTATCGATTCAAAGAGACTCTTACTCCATATTTGTTGTTCACCTTGAAAAAAAGAATGAACCAAAAATTACAATTGTTTCCTTTTATTAGAAAATCACAAATCTGGAACTGATTTTCAGTTCCATGCGGTTGCCATCTATCTGCAAGCAGGGAGAACAATATTTGGTATGTGAATGAATACAATTGAGAAGGGATTCACCATTATTGGTTCAGATGAATTTACATACTGAGGTTCCAATGAAGGTATGTTCCCTGCTGAATTTACAGACAAAATCTTTCCGTTTAGCAGCACAGTTTGACTATGTAGGTTACCATCCTTGGCTGTTAAATGATATTCCTCTCTGAAGGCTTCGCTTCCGAAACCATGAGGTCGAGGTAGCTGAATAACCTTTGGTTTATGGTTATAGGATCTGTGTCTATGGTGCGACCCTTGGGTTCTGTTGAATGTGATCCCAGCACGTACTGTTGTGTTGCTATCTAGGTTGAGCAATAGTAATGTGATTCCTTTCTGTAAATTAAGAGTTAGATCAGAGTATGGAAACTGGTGGCATTTTTTTCATTTTCGAGTTTCAGCTTTCGGTTTTGTGTGTGTGTGTTATTGTTTTGTACTGTTTCAGAGACAAATAAGAAATAGGAAGAAAAACCAAATATTTATAGAAGGATTATCATGGTCTGCACTTCAACTTACAGATTGCTTAGAACAGTGTGCATAGGCTCGTATTTTCTTCATCCCGACGAAGCTTGTGGCCAGTACGTTTCTTCCCATCAAGCGATGCCATAGGAGTGCACTGAAATGAAGAAAGAAAAAGAAAAGGAAGGAATGAAGTGTATAAGGTCAGAAATATTGGTTCCAATGGAAGCTACTTAGGTTCAATTGAGCTATTTCTATAATCTTTCACCTGTAGTAGTCTGGATTTGGTTCAAAAGTAGTTGTGTTTAGTAAACCATAGTTTCCACCGATCAATGTTTGCCTGCAGTACGTTTTCGTGTCGAAAGCAGCTGACATACCTAGCTGATCCAAGTACCTGAATACAGTACACACACATAAGAGTGCTATTTACAATGGTCCAAAAAGAACCATATATGAATGTTTTCTCAGAGTCAGGAATTACCAGAAACTAAAAACGAATGCATTTGTGACCAGATTATGGCCACTGTTGTACGCTCCTCCAGCTTCGCCAACCCATGGTTTAGCTGAAGTTGGAGAGCTTTTAAGGATCTCATGAAGCCTGTAAAATGTATCGACCATCCCATCGAGATAGGACGGGTCGAGAATCCTTTCTACAAGATGCTCATCAACTCCTGTCAACAAGTAAAAGCTCCAGTCTGAACCCATATTCTGAAAATTGGTAATAAGGCGAAGGGTCTGGTCAATGGAAGGGAAAATACCTGGTCCAAGATTGTATATATGGTGTGTGATAACATCTGCAGATTGARTTGTTTTGTCAATGAAATCTTTGAACCAATTTTCGTCAAAAAATCCTCCAGGTGCTATGATTAACGGCTTCGGTTCGATACCCTGATAGATACTTCGGACCATGTTCTGAAGAGCATATGTATCAGAAGCGTACTGATCTGCTGAAATTCTTGTTCCAACTCCATTTCCACTCAATTCATTTCCTGAGCATAAAGAAATGGATGATCAATCATACTTTAGAACAGAAGAATCCTCATGGACTTTCAAATATGAGAAACAAAGTCAATGGGGGATAAAATTGCAAACAGTTCAAGTTTGCAAAGTATAGAGAGAGCCCTGTAGTACAGTTCTTACCGAGCTCCCAACCATGGATTGTGTAGTTCTTCTTGACAGTATAACGAATGAAAGATTCAGCGTTTGTATAGTTCCAAGCTCCAATGGCAGACCCATCTGATGCAATTCTTCGTCCCGTGAGAGCGTTTAACCCGAAGATAATCTTAGCTCTGCAGGAAATTACGCAACTTAGCATTCAAACTTTCAAGGAATCTGACTTCAAGAGCAAAATGGGATGAGATTCATTACCCTCCCTTCTTGAAGAAGTCATTAAGTTGATCCCATCTATAAGTGGGCAAGCAACCTTGACTGAAACCAAATAACTCTGAGGTGTTTCTGGAAAAAGAAATGCAGGGTTGCTGGTGATCTTCAGTATCATATATGAGCTTATCTTGCAAACTACCGCCCAATCTGAGCTTAAGGGGTTTAAATTCTGCATCGTTCATGAACAGGTGTTAGATTTAGTTTACAAATTTGAATATATAGAGATTAGAGAAGACTTGGGAGATAGTTTGGCTCATAGTCGTACATGAATTTTATCAAAAAATAGTTGTACGAGACACATAAGATACAACGTGGACATGACAATGACACATTTATTGAAATATACATTTTTTTAAGTATATGCATTTTTATTCCATAAAGAAATTTAAAGTCAATAAGCTTGTGCATTTTTATGCTTAAAAACATGAGTTTGATGTATTTTCCTCTCAAAATTTATTATTTTGTCCTATATTATTATTTATGCTTATTTCTTATGCTCAACAAATTTTAGATACATGCATAACACGAGTTGGATCCATATTCACTTTGTACAATTAGCATTTCTTATGCTCAACAAATTTTAGATACATGCATAACACGAGTTGGATCCATATTCACTTTGTACAATTAGCATGTGACACACCTCTATTGAACTAACAAGTGTCCGATTCGTGTCAAATAAGTGTTCGAGTGTCCAACACAAACACGATACTCAAAATGAAGTGTTTATGCTCCTTATCAATTGAGTTATACTTGGATTTAACAAACACATATTACTCAAACTTAACCTTTCTAAACCCGAACCTCGTAAATCAAGACTCATTAACACTGTGACCCAAACAGTCTATGAGCTAAAGGAATTCAAACCTTTGACTGCATTTAATAGAATGTTGTTGTCCAGGTCCTGCAATTAAGAATAGGGAACGATTTAAATATCTAGGTACAGCCCTCAGATAGATTATAGGAAAGCATATTTAATAGCTGAGACCTTATAAGAATTAATTGTTTAAGATTTAATAGAACCCAGCAGAAAGGCAATAAATAATAGCTAAAATGCATAATTGAAGAGTGAGATGTGTGCAAAAGAAAGATCCAAAGGAATTTCTACTTTACTTATGCAATAAATACTCAAAAACCCATAAAGCAAACTTGAAGAAAAAGTTCAAATAATGAAAACCCAGATGCCAAAATCCATTAGCATTATCAAGAACACATCACTGGCCATAAATGTTGAAATCTGAAAGTGCTTTTCAAGAGAACTTACCAGATTCAGCAGAGAAGCTCGGCCCCAGCTACAGGTTCCATAATCGCATTTCTCAGGAGGCCACCAATCGAGAGTAGCACACACAAAATCTTCATCAATACCTGCAATGGCGGATTTGCCATCGATTAAAACCCTCCCTCTCACACACCCATCATCTTCCTCCACGCCCTTCGAGCTCACAGACGCAAAACAGAAGAAGAAACAGACCCAGAAACAAAAACCCATTTCCTTAAACTTTCTCAAATGGCGAAAGATCTGAATCTCCTTATAAAAACCACAGGGGAAGCCATGGAAGTCGATTACAGAGCTGGGGCCATTAATAAAGGCAGAAGACAGAGTGTAGCGAAAGGAAGAATATACAGTGGTGAAAACTGAAAAAAAAAATACTATACCAGTCTTGGAAACTAAGAAATGTGGGTTTGAAA